AAAAAAAAAGACAATGGACTCCTTTATACATCAACAGCGACAGCATATGTGATATTTCTGGAGCTGCAGGTGAACGGAGCTTTTAAAACAGAAAACAAAAGCCTCATTTGAATTATTTTCCAGAGTAATAATGCAAATTATTCACATTATTTATGCAAATAATGAGATTTTAATGCCACTTTTGTGCATTGACGTACATTTAGCGTTTGATATTTGCAGAAAAATGAGGCAAAAACGTGAAGAAACGCCAACTTTCTCCTCGATTTCTTACTCCTCTCTCCTCCTGTGCACACTTTCACCCATCTCTTCCTCCAGATAAGCACATGACCTATGAATGTATAATGTGAGCGGCTCTCTGACCACGCAGCGCTGTACCTCTCCACATCACATCAGCCAGCCGATGCCCCCACATCTTAAACCCACGGCGCATTATCGAGACACGCCAACGGGGCCACACGAGCAGAAGAAGGTAATCAGGAACACCGAGCAGCTCTACGGCCATTAACCCCGACGCTACAGCTATCAGTCAACTGGACAAAGGACGGAGAGATAAAAAACCTTTTAAGAACCTTTTAAAAAACATTTAATGGCTCTACCTACTTTTACACGCTGGCCACCTTAAACGTCTGATGCGTTTTATTTAAGCTGGTTGGAGCATTAGTTCAACACTTTTTGTAGCCATGGAACCAAATACAGTACAGATATCCAAACATGGGCAGCCGGTTGAGTCATTAATTGCTGATTCATAAATTGCTTTTTCCCCCAAAAAAACCCAAACAAGTCCAGTTTACTAGAACGTACGACCAGGCACAGCTGCAATTTCACAAAGACACGGTGGAAAAATAACACGCAATGACTTTTGGTCACAGTTGAGTCACTGCAGGTTTAAGTGTTGCGCAGAGGAATGCAAAATTTCTCGTCTTTTACAGAATCTGGTTAATGCAAAAAGTGATTTTATTGAAATTTTATTATTTTTAAGCTTAGATTTGGTCACAGCAGGTCACAGACGAGTAGTTCAAAGACAGATTCAGTACGATTCTCTCTGATTTACAGCTTCTGGATCTGATAAATGGTGTGACTTCAGTGATTTTTTAAAGGCAACACGACTAGTTTACTGTAATACAAGAGAAGGCAAAGATAGAATTTCTCACATTGAAGGAGCTGAAAACATCAAATCATGCAAAAAAATAATAAATCAGTCGTCCATCTGTTGTTCTTCGATCTCACCGAGACGTGCTGTGGTTCAGGTTAAAGTGGTACACCGGCGGCATCAAGCCGGACCTGGATCACACACATTTTGGGCCTGTCAATGGCAGTCCATCTTTTTCCAGCATTAGCAGGAAGGCAGTACGGCCCTGTCCTTTGACTGCTTTGGTTGGGGTGGTCTCTGTGAATGCTCCCTGAAGCAGACACCAAACTAGCACGATTGCTTTTTGCTCATTGTTAGCTCGAAGACTAAGACTGTCTAAATGGAAAGATCCATGTCCTCCAGCATACGGCCACTGGGTGAAAGAGGTTATGGGTCATTTACATTTGGAAAAAAATTAGACATACACTAAAAGGATCTGTTGGGAAATTTTATGATCAGTGGCTGCCGTTTTTGTCCCACTTTGAAAGTGTGTCTGCTGATAAACTTTCTTAATTTTGCATCAACTCTGTACACAAATCCGTGTCACATACGATATGTAACCTCTGATCCGGTATAGCAGGGGGCGTTTTTGTTTTGTTTGTGTTTGAGGTTTAACGTTGCTAAAAAAAATTAATAAAAAGACAACCAAAGAAACTAAAAATCAGTCATCTCCATTTGCTTTTTGTTCCTCACTAACTGCTTAAAACCCAAAGATGTTCAGTTTACTATAATAGAAGACGAGGCAGAGCTTCAGTTTCTCATATTTCAGGAGCTGAAATAATAATATTGTAATTATCACAGAAGTCGCTGATGAGTTTTCTGTCTTTCAACTAATAATCCAAACAAATCAAAACAGTTTGTTGGCTTCGCTCACTGTGCGTCTAATCTGCCAGTTTTATCTCAAAAGCTGACCAGTTGGTTGATTCATAAAATGTCAGAAATAGCAAAAAAAACCAAAAACAATCTTCCCCAGCTGCTGTCTTGTTCCATTATTAGTCCAAAACCTGAAGAGATTCAATTTATCAAACAAAACAAAACTCACATTTCTCGTCGAATCTGACGTCTTTCAACTAATAACCATCTATTTATTTCAGCTGTAGTCTCAGCAGGTCAGCAGCTGTTCTCCAGAACAGCGTGTACACAGATAACAGTGCGTTGGCTTCGTTCACCGAGCTTCTATCAGGGGAGTTCAGCCCTGCCCAGAATAAGACTGCAGAGGACCGAGCCACAGACAGCTGTGTGTGCCGTCACAGTAGTACGACTGAAACCCACCCAGTATAGCAACGTTTAAGTTAGCGGCGTGAAGCTTTATGTTAATAAATGTAGCGTTGCTTCATCAGAAACGCAGCGTCTCTTTGGCTTTCCTCGGAGCAGATGTACCGGCAGCATTTGTTTATCCCATAACCTCCATCAGATAGAATTACAGCCTGCTAACCAAACAGTCACACGTTTGATTTTCTACAAACAGCCCATATGGGCCCATCGGCCTCCATGTGTCCAGAGAGAACTCACTGTTACTCACGCTGAATCCTCCGGAGGGTCGACAAGTACGATGTCTAAATCTGAGCCGGTAACAGGCGCAGTGAGGCGGCTGGTTATGACCATCTACCTGATGGCGTGAATCAGCATCCAAAGCCTCAAACGTCACCGTCGAGCTGACTTTAAATGCATTAAACGGCTATACAAGAATGAGTGTTGTGTCACCTTTTATGTATTTACCTTCACTTTTAGCTAAAAAATTAAAATGGCGTTCATGTATGTTATTAATTCATCTCATGTCTGTACGTATCAACGTGAATTCATCATGTCTTGTACATTTCCTCTATTATACCTTCATTAGATCTACTGATGCACGATATTAAAATTTCTGGCCGATGCCGATATCAAGATTTCTGATATCGCCAATAACCGATATTACCGATGCCGATATTCGATTTTTGCAAAAATGAGTAAGCACTGTGAGAACTTGAAAACTATTCAAAAGAAGCCAAATTAGACCCAAAGTCTTCTTCATTACGTAACAAAAGTAAAACATATTTAAGTCCAGGACCATTTAAGTGAAAACATCTGTGAAGTAGCAGCGATATCAAACGTAGAGACGAAGGCGTTGATGTTAGACAATCATCGGCTAAATTTGTTCATCGGACCGATACGGATATATCGGAAAAAACATTAATATCGGCCGATACCGACGTCGTCTCCGATATGTCGTGCATCCCTAATTCGATGCTTTTATTTTAGCTTCGTGGTACTTTTGTGATCAGCTGCTCAAACATGTCGGCGACCAATAAAGTTGAGCTCATTTTATTTTCATCTGTGAGCATGCTTTCTGGGGAACATCACATTTTAAAAGCGGGTGCAAAACGCAGTTAAACTGGGGTGACAACATAGAAAGCAAAGCGTCGCCTTCGCTGCCCCTCTCAAGCTAAAAACACAACATTAAACATCACAAATCAGACATGAGAAGGACTTCTGGCTCCGAACATCCAGCCAGAGGTGAGCGTGCATCTGCACAACCCAGACGTGCAGCAGGGGAAACACTGGCTAACCCAATTACATGTGCGGCTTTGTGTGTGTGTGTAAATCTGCTTAATATGAAACTGATAGCATCGGGAACGCAGAGCGGCGCTGAGGGTCGCGGCGCTCCCCCTTCTCTATTTAAAACCCTCCTCTAATGCTTCCTGCCCTTGCCACTGGCTTTGTTACGCTTTGCTAAGTAAGTTTAGCATTTGAGTGCTTTAACACAAGGACCAGTGTATAAATCAGGTTAAAACAAATGTGACACTGGGGGCGTGAAAGGCCGCGCAGACATCAGCGACGCCTGCCTGGAGGTAAACAGACGTCAGAGGTCACTCTTCTCTTTAAAACTACCAAAATAAATCGCAACCTTCACAGAGAATTCTCCAGGCGCCGTTAATCTTTACAAACTAAAAGCTAATTTCACACATAAGCAGCTAATGGGAGATTAATTTTAGCCCTAAAATCAAAACAGTGTTTTGTTTTGCTAAACATTAGCACAGTTAGCTTAGGCGGCATCTATTGTACGTGGTTTAGCATAAAGACGCGGCTCTTGATGTTAAGCGCTTTTTAAGCCTCGGCGGTTTCTGGGTGGTTTTTGCCACATTTCTCCTCACTTTCCGCCACAATATAAAGTCCTACACCTCTATGGAAACAGCACAAGCATGGCTAGAAGCAGAGATGACTCAGAAATGTCTTGGATGCAATGCTTTAGTCAAAAAATTTAAACTGATACAAGTACTAGGGGAGAGAAAACAATGGTGATAGCCGAATTTTTCCCATGTGACTGTTGGTCACAGTTGAGTCACTGCTGATTTCACAGTGGTGCAGAGAAAAGCAAAATTTCTTGTCTTTTACAGAATCTGGTTCAAGCAATTGGTTGATTTTTGGCAATTTTTTTAAACAAGGCACCTCCAATGAAGCGATTTTGATGAAATATTGTGATTTAAAGCTCGGATTTGGTGACGATTCTCAAGAAAAGCAGCAGGACACAGATAAACAGTTTGTTTTTACAGTTTCTGGCTCTGATAAATGTTGTGATTTTGTAAACATAACACAACTTCGATGGGCTTTGGTGTCCAGCGGCACGTTTCAAGCCAACAAACAATCTATTTACTACGTCAACAACACCATTTGTATCCTGTGTACAGGATTTCAACTCCTAACCAACATTATATTCTTATTTATTAACATCCTCCACAGTCAAATACCCCCAAAAAATCACTTCCACAGTTGCTTTGTGTCCAACAAGCTAAAGGCCCCAACAAAAAACCCCACTCAGAGCCAGAATGAGCCTGTGAACATCCAAGCAGGAGATCTGTTTTGCATCCTTTGAACAAGCAGCAGCGCTCACCTTTTCAATTTTGTCCAGCCATTCCTTGTTCTGGGCCAGCTCGGCCATGAAGGCCTGGTGCTTCAGCCATTTCTTGTGAAGCTTCTGGGTCTCGTCTCGGCTGCTGTCCCTCGCCATCAGCATCTTCTCGTACACCCAGTCCCCCAGCTGGGCGAGAGAACGGAGAGAGAGGGAGGCGTTAACAGCGGACAAACACTGTAGATTTTCCTCACAAACGCTGCATGATGAAATTGTGTCAAGTTCACGAGAGAAACACACACACGTATGTTCTCACCGGAACGTAAATAAAACCTGGAGCGCATAAACAGACAGCGAGAAACACAAGGTCAAACGCACACATACATGAATACTTAATGACGCATAGCAGGCACATGTAGGCAGACACACGTGTACCAACAAGCATGGCGGCGGGGATTCACATGTGCACGGCGCCGTCCGCGGCATCAACACAGACCCACGCACGCCTCCAGCCTCCAACCAGCCGCCGAGCTACAGAACCATTCTGCACGCAAGCAAACCTCACGCCTGCGCTGACAGCATCGCCAAAATATTCAGGTCAGCACCCTCGTCTCTCCCCCCTCATCATCATCATCGTCCTCACACCTGCACCTCCATCACCCACCCCCTCTCTCCCTCCTAACCCCGACCGAATAGCCCGTTTACCGGCAGCGTTTAACGGGAACAGCCCACGGGGTTGTGGCAGCTGCAGGCAGCCGCTGGCATCCGCATCCTCGCTGGTCCGCCGTCACACACATGTAAAGACCGATCTCCACCGCAGAGCCGGACGCAGAGAGGGGAGGAAGAGCGAGGAAATGGAGAGAGCCGAGGCGAGGCGAGGCGGTGACGCAAAAGAAAAGGTGAGAGGAAAAAAAATGCAGGAGGATAAATAACAACAATACTGGAGGGAAGAGACAGACTGGAGACTTCAGACTGAGGCTGCGCTACCTTCGCTGCTCTCTCTCTCTCTCTCTTTGCTGTGTTGCTGAGGAGGGGAGGGCGGGGGAGGATGAGTGAGAGGCGAAAAGAAGAAGAAGAAGAAGAAGAAAAAAAAAAAACCCTCCCCAAAACAATAAAATGGCAGGCAGCCGAGCCGGTGCACAGACGCTCCTCCCCTCCTGCCTCACACCTTCGGCGAGCAGGCGAATGGAAAAGCTGCCTGGCTGCTCGGAGGAGAGATGGAGGGGATGGAGGAGGAGAGGGAGGAGAGGGAGGAGAGGGAGGAGAGGGAGGAGCCTGGCATTGGGATCTTTTTTTTTTTGGTATGGGGGGAGCAGGGGATGCAGCCTCCAGGCTCACCGGTCACGGCTAATGATGCTGAGGGGAAGAAGGTGGAAAGGGGGGGAGGCGGGTTGGGCTTTGGATGCTTTTTGTGGCTGCTTTAACAGACCAACAACTCTCTCTGCTTTTGTTTTATCTTTCCCCTCCCTTGCAGCAGCTGTACTCTCGCCTGCTGCAGTGGTGAAGCAGAGAGGAAAGAGAGAGAGAGAGGCAGCAGATGGAAAGAAAAGACGTTGATGGCAGGAAGACGGGTGGAAAAGGACCAAGACGGTGATTTATCAGGATGCATTTGATAGATTTACTCGGCTGGATTCGGTTCGACGCCTCTCCGCTCGTCGCCAGCTTCATGCACGCATGCACGACTGCAGAGGTCACGCAGGGTCACGGCCCGATGCCCCCCTCGAGACTGTAAAGGCTTTGAAGGAGGGCGAGAGGAGGAGAGCGTGTGCGTTGGAGGGGGGATGAATGAACGGATGAATGGAGGGAAGGAGGGAGGAGACGTCTGACGTAGGACAGGAGGAGGGAGAGGAGGGGAGTCAGAGGAGGACTGACGAGGACTCGGAGTCATCGTCGCGTCATCGGACTTCATCGTCACGCTGGAAGCTGGTGGTTTTAGTCCACATTGAGAAAAGCCACATTAGCCACCGGTTCTGTTCTGGACTGCTCCCTGGACCCCATAGAGGAGGTGGGTGAGGAGGGGATGTTAGCAAAGCTCACATCCATCATGGACAACCCCTCTCACCCGCTGCATGAGACCGTGGGGGCTCTAAGCAGCTCCTTCAGCAGCAGACTGAGGCATCCGTCCTGCAAGAAGGAGCGCCATCGACCCTCCCAGCTGCAATAAGACTGAACAACATCAGCATCTCTGGCTGATGTTGACCCACATGGTCATAATTCATTTTGCACAAGTCTGTGTAAATGTTTGTCATTCAATCGTATACTTTTGTCATCTTGTGTACATACTTATTTTATTACTTAATTATCGTTATTTCCTAGTACTTCTTTTCTGTATTTCTGGATGCTGCTGTGGCTCGTAAATTTACCCCAATTGGGGATCAATAAAAAATATTCTATTCTATTAGGAAACAAACTGCAGAGAGCTACTGACTAAAAAGTCTATTAGTCGAGGACATTCATCAAGAATCTTGATAATTTATCGATTTGCTCTTTAGCGAATTTTGGTGACGTTAAACTGTTATTTTTAAAGTGGGACTCGACTGATTATTGAAGCTGATATCTGGTGTTTCTCTAATTATTGGTATCAGTCATCTCGTCTCTCCAGCAGAGACACAACCTTCAAACCCTGAACAACAAGCACAAAAGCCAAAAACCAGGAAATTAGCTGCTTTCACAGTGGCTACGCTAACGGCTAGCGGCTAAGCTAGGAGGCAGATGACCTTGAAACAGAGTCCGGAGAACAATAATTAATGATGCTTTAAGATCTGGGCCTTGATGGGCAATAAAAGTGAAAGAACTCCTCTCGTTAGCGTACATAATCAGCTGTGGTAATCGTTATTAATAAAGAAGTGTAGATATAAATGACAGGTGAAATGCTAACACATGCTGCTAAACTATAACGTGCAATATCGGTTCCAAATATCGGTTACCAGCGTTTCTTATTTACCAACAATGAATAACACTGAAAACCCCAGAGCGGTTGATCCCTGATTTCAGAAAGCCATCGCAGCAAGATTTCCAATGAAGACTTTATTAATTTTTACCACAGTGTTGGCCACTATGTCGACTGAACATGCTTCTCTTAGCTTGGCCCGCGACAACTCTGATTAATTTAACGAAACACAATACATAATAATGAGGTGCAGCAGAACCATTATGTTGTACAGAACGGGCTGGCAAAGCAAGGTTACCATGAAATATAATGGTGTGTTCCAAGGTCAACCTGGTGTTGTTCTTTGGAGGCAACTTAATCACACAGTGTCTGACTTCAATTAAGCGAACTAACGAGTCAACTGCTAGTTTAGTGCAGATTCCATATGAAGAGGTTTCAGTGATAGTGAACCTCGGTGCTGTTTATCCTCACAGGAAGTCTAGCAGCAGCAGGACGTTTACATAGAGTGACTTTACATGTGTGTTACATCTATCTATACACAGTGCATTTAGCGACTCGGCCTTCAGGCAAACACCTGCTCTTTTCTTTAAACAGACCAGAAGGTGAAAGCAGCTAAAAAGCTGCAGAACGATTTCTAACTGAGGTCACTTCTTCAGTCGCCTTTTGTCCCGAAGACAGAGCTGTGCTGTGGATGGAGTGGAACAGACAGGCCGATGAGGGACTCTAAAGATTATATAAGAGGGGAAAATATGCTTTTTTCAAGACTTATTCAAGCAAAACTGGCCGTGACCTCCTGGGTCAGGGTGCTGGAAAATCGAAGAGAACTCAGCGACTAAACCAAACCCATGGATGAAATTAAATAAAACGCATGAAATACACAAATTTAAAAAACAACAAACTACTTTATCAGCCTTTTGTTTGGTGCATTGTAATAAAACAGCACTCATTTGCTCTGCTGGAATTTCAGTCTACATTAAAGTCCCTCTTCGGTCACTGATTTAACCCACAAAAACTCCTCGAGCACACCAGCTCACCTGCTCAAACACGACTACACAACAACAACAAGCTGTAATATTGAAGTAATTCAGCCGTACACAACCGGAAACTGCTTCTGAAGAAGATACTGTACGTCCCCACCTGCGAGCAGACATGATTGGTTCTTTAGGTTTGTGACATACGAAAACCAGGAAGTCTGAATCCGTGTTTCTGAGAATGGCATCGGTAGACTGCAGTTTCCCCATCCACCATGGTGCTAACGGCTAATTTTGCTCGTGACATGTCTTCCACCATACTGACACGTTAAAGAGGTACAAACTTGATCTGTAACTGCATCACATCTCTGAATAGTGCAAGAGTTTGTGACGTCCTTTAAAGATAGTCGCACTAAAAAAAAAAAAAACCCAGAGAAGCGTGTTAGCTCTCCTGTAGCGTATGAGAGAAGCTCAGGCTGGTCATGCAAATGTTTCTGGGTCATGAACTGTCCGATGATGGCGTCCACTTGTCACGCGAAGCAGCCACGCCTTTAATTATGCATAACTTTAAGTCTTAAAACCAATTTACACAGACAAGTCATGTAAAAACTCTGGAAACGTGCTGCGGGGACTGTATCATACGGTGGTAATGGCGTGCATAAACAGAAAGAAATATACGGAAGTGCCCCAGGCCTCTAGGGGCAGTAGTGAGCTTTTCAGTCACTGTGACTATTTG